GATGGGCTGAATTGCACAAAACGCATGATCGCACCGGCTAGTCTGGTGCGCGTTGCTATTTATTAGGCTTTGAGGCCTACGAGCTCAGGAAGAGTAGTTGCGTTTTTCGGGAAGCACTGAAGCGTGGTTAGGCTGTTAGTGAAAGTACAACCGCGTCGTGGCTAGTTTTGTATCGCTCTGTATCTTTGCTGATGGACGTTTAAGTGGGGCTTGCAGTTACTTTTTATGCGCGGCGGCGCCAATTTGTGGTTACTTTCATCTCTCATTTGTGATTGTCAGCCCCAGCTGTTACAGATTGTGCAGAAGTTGAATAAATCGTCGGGCAAAATGGACGATGAGACACTGTTACTGCTGGAGGAAGGCATCAAAGAAGGCTTTTTGACATTGGATGCAAAAATGCGTGAACGACACGAGTTTGATGATAATGCCGAGCGCAGTGGTACCACTGCCATTTGCGCCATTGTCACTCCGTCGCACATCGTTCTCGCAAATCTTGGTAGCTCACATTTAAAATCATTTCACATATTTTTTTTTTTTTACGCACTTTATTAATTTAACAGGATGAGGGGGATGGCTGTATAATTCGAGACTAAAAGGACATAGCTGAAGAATATGTAGGCCAATCTTATTACGTAAGAATGAAGTGTTGCAGACACATATTCCCAGAGTGCGATGGCAAAAGCGTATAATTCGGGACGGCGATGGAGTAGTTGTACAGTGAAGGGTGGAAAGGAATAGCCATCCGATCCTGGGATAAGACTGGCAGCCACATTTTCACTCACACACTGCCAGTGTTTGCTAGCGACCAAGTCACGGGCAGTCGGTCGGAACAAGACACCGGTGTTGCAAAGTAATCATTCAGCTATCTGTGAAAAGGATGAGAATGAGCGCATAGAAGCTTGTAGATGGTGCCCTTTTTTTTGTCTAGATTCTTTCTGCAAATAAGTTTCGCTGGCTTAAGTTAGGTGGAGAGGTGTGCGGCAACGAAGTCGTTGTTAAGAGGGTGTACTCAAAAAATGTGTCTGAGGCAATGCACACCAGAATGAAGTCTTGTAGCCATGATAAGGGAGTGTATGATGGAGCACAAAATTTTTGTGTCAAGTTGATTTTATCGTAATGAACGCTTCGGAAGTGCTAATCATGATTTTTGATTCAAATTTTTAGGTGACTCTCGTGCGGTGCTGTCGCGAAAAGGCCAGGAGGCATTTGGCACCGAAGACCACAAGCCGTTCCTGCCAAAGGAACGGGATCGAATTGTGAATGCCGGTGGGTCAGTAATGATCCAGCGCGTTAACGGCAGCTTGGCCGTATCACGAGCACTGGGAGATTTCGAATACAAAGCTGTTCCTGGCCTAGAAGCAACAAAGCAACTGGTCAGTCCGGAACCGGATATCTATACGATCGTCAGAGATCAGGTATGGTCAAATGACAAGTGACCGAGAATTCATTCGTTTAGAAATAACGGTTTTCGTGGCAGGCACAAGCAAGCTGTTCTGTTGGCTACATCCGGAACCAAGTGTCTTGTGCGGCTATATAAATTGTTCAAAAGGTCACGCACGTTTGGTGTCAAGGCGATTTTATGAATTTGCCATGTTCTGGTTGCGAGTGTACATCCCGGGCGTATACAGCGACCTTCAAAAACGGCTAGCCAGTGCACGATTTGCCTATTTTGGTTCGCAATTTAACGAGCAATATAGGTTCAGTGTGAGCGCCAGTGTAACTTGCAGCAAGTTGTCAGTTAGTTTTGAAAAAATTCTGTCTTTTTCGAACATCTATTACCTTATTTCACTCGTTTTACGCACTTATCATTACCAGAATTCTGCGCACTGCTCATCTTTCTTCGTTTACTTGGCATGACGCTCAGAAATTGCGTTGACGCGATCAGTAAGGTGATATTGGAGTCACAGATCCTGCTCCCTATTCAGTCTCCAGCACTTCTGCATATTTTTTTTCGTCGAAGTTGCAGTCCTAAAACTGGACAGGAGTGGTGGAGAAGTTTTGTTTCAGGCATATTCGAGCTTGAAGAGTCAGTACGTAGAACATTCAGCTGTCACATTTCATTTGAAAACAAATGTTTTTATCTTGTTTGCCACAGTTCAAAGAAAATCGTGAGAAGACTTGGGGGCTTTGATCAGAGGCACAGTGAAATTGTTTCCATATTTAGCTGGGAGGTTTTTCTTTGCAGAATGTTGATGAATTTTTGTTGCTGGCCTGTGACGGCGTTTATGATGTTATGGAAAACGCAGAAATCTGTAATTTTGTACAATCACGTCTTCGTGTAACCAGTGATCTCTCAACTGTCGCCAATCAGGTTTGTTCGCTTTAGACCAGGCCAGCACTACTGCTTGCTGACGCTGTTGCTGTAAGCGATAAGACTATGCAGGAAACATGTTCATTTTTTAGCTGCAATGTGATGGGGGTGTTCTAGTGATATGCGTGGCGGTTGTCTAATACTTTTGGTTCAACTTCTGTGCTGGACATTCGATTCTAGTTTGCATCACCACAAATTTCGGGCGTTGAGAGTCACATGCAATGTTGCCAGTAAATATTCCTGAAAATGCTATCACTTATATTGCCTATAATAAACCAGAAGACACTAAAATGAGAAAGGGGCATGGGTTGAGGAAATTGCAATTAAAACGCAGAAATCAGTTAGGAATTTTTTTGAAATTTAGAGGTAGATCACTTGAATTGGCAGCATCTTTGTGTACAGCATCACAGCACAATGAAGCTCGTAGTGCGCATCAGTTACTTACTGGGCTCTCAGCAGTTCCGTTAAGTTTCAGATTTAGAAATTTTTGACCGAAATTACATCTGGCTTTTCCAATGTTTATTCCCATTAGTGTTGTATTTGATTTATTGCCCTTCGACTTCAGTTTTCACTTACTTTTCAAACGCACTGTGCCGAGACTATATCTGTGTGACCGTTATTTTCAGAATTACGAAAGCTAGGAAGCTGAACTGCTTGTGCCATAGGCCCATCTACGTACTGGTCCAGGAACCTAAAAGAAACCTCCTTTTCGTTTCGTATGCTAAAGTAAGCAGGGATATAATTTCACCGCCGAACGTTGTAACACCGCTTCGCAGGCTTTTCCGTGCGAAGTCTGTATAGGTGTGACGTGGAATTTTTGCAGACAGTAGTCTCCATTCATGCACAGAAGTAGGCTGACTTTCGGATCATCCTTTCGCTGTCATGAACTGGTCCAGCACCTTATGGTCACCACAGGTATAGTGTGCGTATGCATCGTGCCGTGCATTTTATGAGGCTTTGTGCCAGTATAGCTTGTCGCAAGGGTACACTGTACTGATGCGCTCTACTGTTATTTACTTCTGGTGCATTTAAATAGTTTTTACTAGCTTTGTAGCTCCTTTGATATGTTTGGCTGAATTTTGCGCACATCGGCTCCATCTTGTAATCTTCGTTACTGCACGTTCTAGGCTTTCTTAGCGCAAAACACACGCAAGTCTCCCCAGAATGGCGACACACACGTTGTTAAATTTATGAACTTGATTACTTGGGGACTGCAAAATAAGTTAAAAAACTAATTTAAATCGATATTAATCCACGTTCAATATTAATCCGAACGGTCTTGGGGCTCTTCGTTTTAAAGCATTTTGCCAACGAAGGCCACTGGCAAAATGGCATTTTGCTGATTTGAGGTGCTGGATGCTTGCTTATCGAAAGGCTCGCGAGATAATATGACCGTGATACTTGTGTGTTTTGATGCAGCGCCCAAGATTGATCCCGATGCAGTAACAAAGGAGGATGAATGGAAACAGAAAATTAGCGAGCGCATTCAAGGTATGGAATTCATGCACTGCAACACCTCAGTCCACGTGAACCGTATTCCTAAAAACTAGGCCCTCCACATATTTTGTTACATTTCACCGTTCTTCTGCAACGAATTTGTGAGCGGAATCGATCACGAGAGGCCGACTGGGCTAATGAGATAAAGAAGCTGATATTACTGAGATGTTAGAATGCTTAGCGCGCCTGTGCCAGGGCTTAATTCTTTAGTTTTTCGTCTGCAGTTTTTTCAAATTTTTTGCATCCACTATTTACATGCTTCGCCTCTTCTGAGATTGTTTTGGTGAGTAGTACTTTCTCGTTTACGGGTAACAGTCACAGGCAAGCGATATCTGCTGAATGTTGAAAGCGAGCATGATGACTGAGATATGGCATTTTATTGTTCTCTTGCTACCAAGCTAGTATTCGTTGCGCGATTTCGGTGGGCGTTTTATTTCTTCTGTTATGGCAGAGAGACAATCTGAGCATTTTTCAACTCATTGCGCTCTTCCGGACAGTGGTCTTTTATGCGCTGTTTCGACGAAGTAGTGTTCGAGGATTTGCACTATAGGATTTACATTGCTCAGTAGGTTTCGATTTTCTAGTTCTGATTGGAAATTGTGGCTTACTTCCATTTCTCAGTACTGACAAGCAACTGGCTACTGCCGTAGAACTTCGAAACCGCAATCTGCAGATTGGTTTTGACCATAACAACACTCTGCATCGTCTTTGTTCTGGATGCCATGTCCGTCTCATGTACTGAGTGCCGACCACATATTTCTTGATGAGCATTCTTGATTGTTTTGTGGGTTAAGGGATGAGCATTTACACTGCGTGTTTACTTTCTTGATTATTCTGGCACAGCGACTTTTTTCTTCACAGCATGCCTTATACCGTTGAGCACGTGGCGAAAGAAGCCTTTTTTACGGACAGAATGCTCCGACGAAACGACAATCTCATTTCACAGTTGCTTTGGTGATGAAGGGGGCTGCAGTGTGTTTTCTCAAAAAAAAACGGTGTTCGCGTGGTTGCTCTCCGTCCAGTAGTTTCGCGAAAGTGCAAATCAACAGAGCCCGCAGTGTATAGCTTGTCATATATGTGAATGAGCAAGGAGCTCATGCAGTAACTTCGTACGTCTTTCTCATCGCATCTTCTCTGCAGCGTACCCCTGTTGACTACCTTTAACTTCTCAGTATCGTTTTCTCAGCCAGCTGCTGAGTGGGCCGAGCGAAACCCACATTCTCTGGGTTTGATAAACTCGATGTTAGCAATTTCGTTGTTGTAATCTTAAAAAAAAAGTGTGACAAGATCTCCCGGACATACTCTCTGAGTATTTTATCTATACAATGTTACCTTGATGGAAAAGGAAAAAAAAAATCTGCTGGTTGGAATATATAATAATCAACAAATGAAAAGGCACTTCCAAGCCTGAGGAATGGGAAAAAATAAGGAAAAAAAAAAAACGTAGATAATTAACCAGAGCAGCGTACAACAAATTGTAGTAATAACGTTATACGGCAGTTAATTTTTTAAAGTTGTGCAAAAATAGCATTTATGCAAGAGAAATACGTTGCACATAGCATAACCAAATAAAATAGACGGGTGACAAGATAAGGAAATATGTCTTTTGGCCTAGTAATGGTAACCGTCTTTGGGAAATCTTCTGAGTTGAGGGAGTTGGTTGCTTAAGATGAGAGGCCATTCCAAATATTCACTGCTTTTTGGCGTCTGCACACTGCGAAGGGATTTGCACAGATTCAGAAACTGGCTTGAGAATTCAAAGAATTTCCGGTAATTTAAAAGGAGTAATTGATCGGTCAGCTTTTGGATCGCAGATACCCATAAGTAATCTAATATGTGCGGTTCAGTTGTCTGAATTCCATGCAGTTTATGAGTTTGCGAAGATTTTATCGTTTGGCGGCTGCTCATTTAATTGTCATATGCTGCTTTGAAAAGAGGGGGAGTACAAACCGGGGGAAGAGCACTGCTTGATGATATAGTTCTGAGTTGATGCGTAATACGAACAGGCTTGTATGTTTGCTCTCTGATTCGTCGTTGATGCTGACTTTTTAGTGCTACAGTTGCAAGTTTCCGCAGTAACGATTTCCTCATTCACTTTTTCGGCCTTTTGTCGTCTTTGAATGGCAGTTGTCCGGCGGTTTTAATCTCAGACAGGTGCTTCAAGTTTTCTTCGATAACCCACGAGGACTCGGCGTATTCTGCATTTCGCTTTTCTTCATGAGCCCTTTTTTCGTAGATCCTTCACTTGCGAAAGGCTCCGGTTATAGCAGCCACGGTTGAACACGGTTTGTTTTTCTTTTGTTCACCAAGGAGCTAAACACAAGATCCGTAATTCTCTTTATTTTTTGCTACTGTGAGTCTGTTGATTTCCCTTAGCTTACTGCCACACCTCATCTTTTTCTTGAAACGTTTCGTTCCAGGTGTTTGCCTCTTGTACTATAATTGAGTTTAAGTCAGTATTTCTTGTACTATAATTGAGCTTAAGTCAGTATTTCTTTTACAGCAGACTTGCTAATTTTGCCGAAAAATTTTTCGTCCTTTTGGTTATGATTCTCTATTGCATATTTCATTTTCTATTTCGCCTCTTTTGAGCCCTTCAGTTTGTTATTTCACTGGCAGTGAGCCAGCTGGATTTTAACTCAAATGATTCCCTTGCTGCTAATAAAGTGATTTTTTCTTTTTACAGACATTTTTGAGCGGTACGGCGATAAAGCAACCATGGATGCGGAAGTGATATTGCGTGAATTAGGTCCCGATGTGTTGCAAGCATGTCCGGTCGGTGCCAACATTTATGCAGCACGAACGTTTGTTGATAGCATTTTAGCGGAGCGAGATGCAGTGAATGATGATTTGAATTTCTCGATGTCGCCTTGATGATATTAAAAACTCCAAAGCAAAATGAATTTGATATTATGACTGCGTGCAGCTCTATTTAATTGGTGTTTTTTGCCAGCCCTGATCTATTCTGTGTCAGCAATTTTCGTCATTAACTCGGAAAGGCTCCAAAATGTTTGAAATTAATTGGAATTTCTGAAAATTCATCGTACATCTGTGTTATTCCCAATATAAATTTGATCTAAAGCGTCAAGGCTAATACTTTTTCCCTTGAAGCAAGTAACTTTTTGAGTTAGTGACATGTCTTTTTGGATGTGTTCGCCACAGCATTCATTGAATAGGAGCTGCTTTTTTCACTGTTTTAGAATGCCACTTCATAGTTTGTTTCTTTCCGGATATTTCGTTGCTTATGATAGGACTAATCCCAGCTGTGTTTACGCTTCCGGCTCGTGCAATCCGGTTTCTCAGTTTTAGGACTAGCTCGTGTAGACGGTGCTTGAGTATTACTCTTCCTATTCTATGTCTGTTTGAGTACTTGAAAAGTCAGTTCAGTCGGTGTAGTTAGGGAATGCTTAGAAATGGCTTTTTGAGTAGGAGAGGTCTACAGACCGACCGCTGTGGCGGCTCGGCCTTGTTGGAATCATCCAAAAAATTCCAAAATCGTTTCCTAAATGTCTTAGGAGCCGATTTTGGAATTGTTCATTGTCTGGTTCCAAATTACATGTGGCATTTGAAAATAGTTCCAACCCGGCGTATCTTTTTGGTTGCAAATGCTCGCTAGTTCTTGTGAATCATCGTGAAGTATTTTTTGTGCTCGCCGGCCTCGAAGCTTTTCTTGAAAAATTTTAGTTCTTGAAAAATTTTAGTCTTCAGGGAATTTGCTTTTTTTGATTTACGTTCGTGTGGTGAATTTAATCCATCTGTGAAATGGGTTTTCTGGAAGCTGCTTTAAGCGTTGGCTTATTTCAGAGTGTTTTAGATTCTGCAGTACAAAACCGCTCAGATTACTTTAGACATAATTAGTGCATAAAAAATGGGATGGTATTATCGAAGTGAGTCTTAGGTTTATAACCCTGTTCGCGTTTCAGAAAATCTAGACAAACACTGTCGGTTATGATGGCATCACTGTTTTGCTGTTAGCTTTTTAGCAAACAGTGTTTCGGAGAGAAGATCAATAATGTTTGCTATCGTGTATATTTTGAAAAGAGTTTCAGGTGCGCAGAATTAAATTTGGGCAACTACTAAAACTCGGCTTGGACTGGTCAGGAGACAAGTTGCAACGACTGCGAGGGGCGGGGGAGGTGCAGAGCCAGAAGCGGTGGAGGCATATGCAGGTCTGAGGCTTAATTCGCAGACGCAATACCGAGGAGAAGACCCAGCGTGGAGGTAGGGTTCGAGAGCAGAGGCGGGGGTTGTGGTGGAGAGGTGAGGAAGAAGAAGGAGAGGGGAAGGAGGGGAATGAGCTATGGGGTTTTTGTGTTCAGCCTGAATTTTGTTGCTGAGAGGAAGTTAGCAGTATTGAACACGACGCCTAGGACCTTACTTGAACAAATAACCCGATATTATGACTTTCGTAACCAGTGCATGTTGCACAGCTGAACGGAGTTTTAGTACCTGCCAAATTTCTCGTTTTGCAATTTTTGGTTCGGTAATACTGGACGGTGTTAGGAAAAGTGGTAGTTGGCAGTGCTGTGCGAATCTGCTAGCAGTGGCCGACGCGTTACATTGTGGGCATCAGCTTACTAGGAGGCATAGAGAGGGAAGAAATGGTGGTTTTTGAGTCAGTTGAGGGAAGAAATTGGTCATAATTCTAGGGTGGATTAAAATACGTCTTTGTTGTGTCCACTTGGCTCGATTTTGTGTTGGCTTTTAGTTTCCAGCAATGCTTTTTTAATTGTTGCATTTTTCTTTCGGCTTCATCAGGCTATTTTAAGTATTGTATTCTGTCAAGTATTGTAAGCCAAAGTCACCGATATTGTATGGAAAGTTTGTTTCCCTCATTAGAACTGAGTGCAGCTATATGTTGATATTGGATGTATTGTTTGTTCGCTGGCTGGTGGCACACGTATCTGTAGCCGTAACTTCCGTCCTACTTATAATGCATTTTCAGCACCTGCAGCTCATCAGCGCTTCATTTTTTGGGTGTTCTGAGTGTCTGCTTAAGCATTTACGAAAAGAATTTCTATGAAAAGCCGTAAAGATTTGGATATGCTCGGCTTATCATTTATATGCACCCCTGGCGCTGTTATGCATGTGCACATCTTCTTTTTAAATCTAAAAACATTTCCGGCCATTATTCATTGTCTGTAATTTGTTTTCGGCGAAAATTTAGCGGTTTTTTAGCCTTTGAATAGCAGTTGGAATATTGGCTCCCGCTTTCAATTTACCCTTCGAGATCTGTGTTTGTAAGGTCCGTCATTCTGTTTGCTGTGGGGGTGACCATTTGAGTTCATTTTTTTGCGATTTAACAGGTTTTGCACGTTGGGAGGATTTGGAATCTATAAACCTGGATACAAATTACTTCTTTTGAACATATTTTAGTGTCTTCATGCGGAGCAAAAACATATCTTGATAGACTTTAATTTAATTTAAATCTACATGGCAATTTCTAGAATTCCAAATTTACTGTTTGTTGCTTCGTCGAAAGCAAAATACTTATTTTGTCATGTGGGAATAAAAAGAGGACCTTCGTTTTTTCTTTCTGTTTGTGCTCTGTAGACTTGATGCATTTCTGTATAAAATCAAGGCTTTCTAAAAAAAAATGAATTCGGAACTTCGTCTTTTTTAACAAGCGATTTCCTAGTAACGAACTTTAGTTTTACAACGACCGGTAGTCTCGGTAAAAATTCCTTGACAGGTCGAACTCCGCCGTACATGCGTTGAGTTATTTTCGTGAGGAATTGGTATCGGCATGCTTTTACGGCGCGAGGGTTAATCCCACGAGAAATTCGATAGGATCAAGTGAGACAAGGACGGCACCATGAAGGTGCTGTTTCATGAAATTACATATTTTTCCTTTCACCGTTTGGCTTATGTTTGCCACGTCCAGCAACTAGGCCATTTAATTGCTCGAAAGAGAAATTGGTTTCTGTCTTGTGAATTTGCTTTGTCATGATCTTATACAAATGTAACATTGGTTCACATATCGCTGTGCACAATCAAAGTCAGTGACACCTTGGGTCGGTCTTGAAATGCTTCCTACGTTTGTTGATATGGGACTTGCATGGCTCTGGACTTTTTTTGTCACTGGAGTTAAAAAATAGGCTTGATCCCTTTGTCAGAGTTTCGGCCATCTAGCTTAAAAAAGAAATTGGCCAGAACTTTTAGTTGTCGTAATTTGGAGTCGAAGGAGTAGTCAAAGTCATTTCAAATTCAAGTCGGTGGAGGACGTAGTCCCTCAAAATGCAGCTTGCTATGCGTTTCTTTTTTTTTTTTGCGTATTGTCAAAAACGCATATTGTCGAAGGGTTGTTTTTGTTTGTGTGTGTTCGCATTTTGTCACTCTCTGTCAACTCAAAAACCAAAAAAGTTAGTGGGGGTAAAACTTTGGGGGCAAATGTCCGCTCCGTATGCGGCCCTTTCGTTTTAATGTTAGCATTTACAGACGCCTGAGTTTCACGTATGGGCGCCTAAAAGAAAATATGTTATTTCTTTGACGGGAGAGCGGTTTTTGCAGTCAGATAAGACAGGAGGTTGAAATTTCATAGGGATGTTTAATGTTCTTGAGTAAGCTCAAGTTCAGTTTTAGCGCATGCCTCAGTCTGTGTGCAAACACGTCAAGATTGAATTTTCGTCTTCGCTGGCAAAATGCCGATTCGGGAACCAAGCTGATCTTAGCCCTTTAACTTCCAAGAGAACATATACATGTGCACGCAGGTGTAAAATGAACCTTGGCGTATGCCTGTATCGCATGTTCGGACACGTCAGAGATATATGTAACGGAAACCGATTTTATCAACCAGTCAAGCAAAAGAGTCGAGACGTCATGGCGATATCCGGTGCTAGTGTGCGACCTAAATATTTCAAACCCAGTTCTAAAGCGCACGTAGGTTTCGCGTGAGCGCAAATGAATGTTTAGTTTGGGGCGCAGTTAGCGCCCTTTTAACTCGGTAGCAAACTGAGCAGGAAGCAGCCTTTTTCTAAAGTTTTCTGTTTATTTGCGAGCTGCCAAGCGCAAGATGAGCTTGCGTCCAAGAATGAGTCGTGCAGACGAGCGCGTCAAATTTCCCAATTGCAGTGTCGTACAGCTAACCCCTCTACAGGATGCAATCATGCAAAAGCGCGTGATCGCATCAGTAAACCTGGTGCATCGCTACCTGGGTTATTAAACAATAGCGGCGCGCACCAGGATAGCCGATACGATTATGTGTTTTGCGCACTTCCGTCTAGTGAACGTTTGTCTGCTAATTATTTTCCTTTTAATGCTTTGCACTTTGGTTTGTACAAAAATAGTTGTAGTGTTGCCTTGTTCCTAAGTTACGAAATTTCCCACTGAAGATTTCCCGTACCAGTAAGCTTGCTTGAAAGCTGAATTTGAAACCTTGGGTGGCGAACATCCTTCCAAAATTTCAACTTCCTAATTTTTTGACTTTCGAGTGATTTTCGTGCCAAAACTTTCACGTAATTGTGCGTGAGATCTCGGCATGTTTGAGAATCAAAAGTGAGTTTGTGAGGCCCCTGCATAGGCAGAAATAATCCTTCTGAAATTTTCAGCCTCCTACCTTTTCTGGCTTTTGAAATAATTTTTCCAGGCAGAACTGTCACGGGGACGTTGAGACCGGAGCATGCGTGAAAGCTGAATTTGCGGGGTCGTATGCGGGCAGAGGCCACTGCTTCAAAATTTCAGCTTCCTAGCTTTCGTGGTTTCCGAGATAATAATTCTCCAGCCAAAAGTTTTGCGGGACCGTACGTGATATCGAAATACGCAGGAAGATTGAATTTAAATTTAAGAACTCGTACTTGGGCAGAGGACATCATCCTAAAATTTCTGTTCCCAACTTTCGTGGTTCTCGAGATAATTTTCCTCGCCAAAAATTTTAT